GCCCGCTCCGCCCTCGCCCCGGGCCCCAGCGCGTCCCCCGGCCGGTTCCCATCCCGCCGCCTAGAACCTGGGTCCGGTCTTCGTCCCCCACCGGGCCCCCTCCCTCGGAATCACTCCGGTCCCCGCCTTTGGCCGCAGGCCCCCAGCCCAGCCCACGGTAGCCGGTACCCCCGGGGCGCCCCCCGCCTGGGTCACTAACCACGGTGCACCCCTCCTCCAGGGGCCGGAGACGCGGGCGGGAGCAGGGGCCGGCTGCCCGAGGCCGTGGAGATGGAGCCCGGTGACAGGAGGAGGGCTTCCTCCGCTTGGTCCGACGACAACAGGAGAGACGGAAACAGTCTGTATCCACGCCGTCCTCTGTCCGGTTCCCCCGAGAAAGGATAGCGCTTCCAAGGGCACCGTCCTCTTAGCTCGGACTCAGCTTCAGTGACAGCATGAATGGGGGATGGTCAGAGGCTGAGAGTCCGCGGGGCGTCCACGTTCCAGCTTGGGGGGCCAGTGGGCGCGTTTGTTCCTTACAGCCCAGGGTTCCAGCTGGGGGTGTGGATGTCTCCCTGCTCCTACCCAGCCCTCCAAGCTGGCCAGTCAGCCCTAGAGCCAGCCTTCTTGAGGGAGAGACGGACGGACGGACGGAAAATTAGATGGTTTTGCGTTAAGAGTTGCCCTGGTAGCAATAGGGAGAGACCCCCACTTCCCTTTGTCTTAGAGACATTCTTGTGCCTGTCTCTTTGTTGGACGTGACATTCGTGTGTCCCGGCAGATTCCTAGGTTGTGGGGCGAGTGTGCTTTCAGCTTTTGAAGGTATCCCCAAGCAGTGGGAGAGTTCCAGACACTCCCCAGCCTCAGCAACATTTGGTCCTGTCAGTCACTGCCCTTTTGGGCATTCTGGTGCCTGTGCACTTGGGTCTGGCAGGTGTTAATGGGCAGTTCCTTGACTAGGAATGACTTGAGCCCCCTTTCGTGTTCTGATTATAGGTCATTTGGGGCTCTTTCATGGGGTGCCTGTTCTAGACCTTACAGTCATTATGAAATTGGTGTGTGGGTCTAACTGATTTGTGGAAAACCTTTGTATGTTCTGGGTAGATCCTTTGTCAGATAAATGTAGTATGAACATCTGCTAGTCCAGAGGTAACAATTTCACACTTTAACGATTTCTTTGGATAATCAGGACTTAATTCTTGCTAATGAAGTGCAATTTGTCAATCTTCTAAAGTTAGGCTTTGCATGTTTGATTTAAGAAATCCTTGTCTGCTCCAATGTCCAGAAGATACTATGCTTTTGTAGGTCCCAGGACATGGAATTGCCTGTCACGTATGGAGTGAGGTAGGGGTCCATGGGTC